CCCCTCTCCCATGTCCCCCTCGAACCGTCGGTCCCATTGTTTTCTCCTCCAGATTGTTCATCCAGCCTATCTTATTTAGGCAGACCTGGGGAAGGACTTCTTAAGACAAAAAAACATAAAAGAAGAGTAGTGATAAATTCAGTGATGTTAGGATTTAAAGCTTCTGTTACTTTTTAAAACCAAAACAAAATAACAAAACCAACAGTGAAAAACTGGGGGGAAATATTTAGGATACATATAATCGACAGAGAATTAATATCTTTATAGAACTCCCATGAATTAATAAAAAGCCTAGTCAAAAAGTGGGCAAAGTATGAGAGCAGGTTTATCATATCACATCGAAATGAACATCATCTAATTGAATATCAGCCAGATTAGTTAAGGAATGTTGAATTACAGCCAAGATTAGGAGAGCATTTCATATCCCCTGCCTCCCAAAGATAAAAATTTCAAAGACTATATTAAGTGTTGGCAAGAATATGAAGCACCTGAAATTACTTATATTCTCTAAGTAAATTGGTACCATTTGGAAAACTTCAGTGGTACTCTGACGGTGCCAAGCTCAAACTTTACTGCTCGAACAGCAAAGGTCAAGAAAAAATCTGGTCGTGTTCGCAACTTTGCTTGATAGTCAACCAAAACTCCGACTTGGAAAGCCTTGAACCAGCTGAGGATGAGTCCCGCATCTTGTCGTGCTTTTACTCAGGCAACGCACAGTGCTCGTGTTAGTGCATTGAAACACTCATTGTGTTCTTTATTTGCTTAAAATGTCGTGATTTTATTTACTGTTGTGTTTGGTATTTAATGTACTAGGGGATATTTCCATAACCTAGGGCTGTTAACTTGTGTTAAAGTCCTAGAAAAATGAATTTATATGTAATTTTGGAGCCTCAGAACCAGTTATTTGGTTTTCCATTATTTCTTATGAGAAAAGTATGTTCCGTTCTTGGAATTTTAAGTGTTCAAACATGACTTTGGAACGAATTGAGCTAGATAGACAACCTAGGTATTATTCTATTTGATACTCCACTAAATTTGATGTGCAAACTCAAAAGGACAAGAAATACTATTTGTAAACTATTGTAGTCTGTCCACCAGAGAAGTTCTTGTCAGGGAGGTACCAAGATACGCACAAAAATGTTCATCAAGGAACTGTAATAGCAGAAAACTGGAGACCGTCCAAGTTACAACAGGCTGGAATGGATAAATTGTCTACGGCTCTGGCAGAATGCTACGCAGCAGTGAACAAGAAGGGCTGCAGTCACATAGCGTTGGGGAGAAGCATAGGTACAGAATCTTAGGGGAGCAAGTTGTAAAAGGATACATACAACCTTACGGTATTTTAAGGGTACAGATAAATGTGTTAGAACATAGAGAGAATAATGATAAGCAAACATTCTTCAAGTGGTTACTTTGAAAGAAGTGATAAAAAATAGCACACTAGAAATTTCAAAATATTAGTCCTTTTTGTTTCGACAACTAAGTATCTTGGTTTTATCCACAAACCTACTATCTGTACCTGACATTTACTTGATACCCGTTGGCGTCTGTGTCATCGGTGCCGAGCCGTAGTGACCCTCTGGGACAGCAGAACAAAGCGCTGCTGGTCCTGTGCCATTTCCCCGTGGCTAGCGTCAGCCACCGTGTCCGTCCATACCCCTGGCCCTCCGCCTGACCAAGCAGGGTGTCCTTCTCAGGACCTGGCCCTCTTGATAGCATGTCTAACGCGTGTGAAATGAAGTCTCGCCTTCATCTGTTTGTTCTTCTGGCGGTTCTTGGTACTTTGCCGCTTTCCTCAGCAGCACCGTCATTCAGAGGCATCGGTTCTTCTCCACTCCTCCGCTATCCATTGTCCAGCCCGCAAGGGCACATGAGGTGATGGAGGACACCATGGTTCGGGCCAGGGCCCCTCGGTCCTCCAAGTGACCTCTCTGCTCTTTCACACTTTCAGGAAGTCTTTTGCAACTGGTTTGCCTGATGCAGTGTGTTTGCCTTCTTGACCGCTGCTTCCGTGAGTGCTGATGAGGGGTCCAAGGAAAAGGAAGCCCTGCATCGCTTGTCTTTTCCCAGTATCATGATGCCGTTCATTGGTCCGCTTGTGAGGGTTTTGTTTCCTGTGCCCTGAGTTGTGTGTAATCCGTACTGAGGGCCGCAGTCTTTGATCTTCAGAAGTGCTCCAAGTCTTTAATAAGACAGGACAAAATAATTCATAAATTATAAAGGGTTCCTGAGGGAGGGGGTGGGGAGGGAGGGGGGAAAATGAGCTGAGACCAAGGGCTCAAGTAGAAAGAAAATATTTTGAGAATGATGACAGCAACAAATGTGCTTGACACAATGGATGTATGAATTGTGATAGAAGTTGTACGAGCCCCCAATAAAATTAACTAGCTTTATTTTTTTTTAAATCTTAAGTGCAAACTGCCACATGTAGCATTTGAAGAAAGGTCACCCTTTTTGGAAAAAAGTTAAATCAGTGCTCCCCATCTATGTATTTTATTATTTGAATTTCCTTCTGTGAAAGTTTTTCTTTACCCCTCACCCACCCCGTCTTCTCTCTGCCCTGCTATTCAATTTGTAGGAGAGATTTGAAGCACTGTTCACCAAATATGACCAAGTTACCTTCCAGTTGTTTAAAAGCTTTCGAAGAGTCCGGATAAACTTTAGCAAACCTGAAGCCGCAGCCAGAGCCCGGATAGAACTCCATGAAACCGACTTTCACGGGAAGAAGCTGAAGCTGTATTTTGCGCAGGTATTTCACCGAGCAAATGGCACGTCTCTAAACGTGTCCTCCCGCCCAAACCTGTTATGTCAGAAACCTTTTCAACGAACCGCCCCAATCAGCAAGTAACGTAAACATAGGTGTGTGTTGTTCTTTTTACAGTTGGATTTCTTTATTAGCACATTTACCTTCCGTCCGTGGCTTTGCTCATTCGAATTGACAACGGCACTTTTCTCCGGCAGCCTTTCTGCACCGGGCCTGTCCTCACACTCTAAGCTCCGCGAATGAACTCTGTACATCGAGAACGGTGCCTGCGACGCACCTGCCTTGGCTCCCTTGACAGAGTTGTCTCTCAGATCATGTTCTGTGGTTGCTGTGGAGAACAGCCTCTGTTGGCAGTAGCTGCTGTGCTGAGAGGGGCAGGAAGGGGGCAGGGAGCTGTGCACACGGCTGTCTCAGACTCCAGGAAACCAACCGTGTGGGGCCAATCTGGCTTCTCTCTTGCCACGCCGAGCTAGGAGTCAGCCCTGCCTCCTTTCTCTGTCTTTCATTCCCCTGTTGTTATACCGTCCATTCCTGGGCGCGACCCTTCTGGACAGCGCCCATGCAGCACTCATAAGACCCTGCTCTGGCTGGAGGGAGCCGCGGGGGCGTTCGGGTTACCGCAGGTGAGAATCAGTAAGCAGGGAGGATACAGTCATCCACCGTCACCGCGCCTTTCCTCAGCCAGCAGCCACCTCTTCTCCAGGCCTCGCCTCCACCACAAGGTTCCGTGACTTCTGCCCGCCCGCTGCTCTGCCTCGCCGTTTCACAGTCTCGGTGCTGCTCCTCCCTTCCGTGACCTGTCTTGGCCGCTGGTGGCTCTGGTCCCGGCCGAGGCCTCGGACGTGCACCCCTCACCAAGGCCCCGGCCTTTCTTTCTCTGCTCCTGCTTCACAGATGGCTCCCCTTACAGCCGGGGGTGGTGTGTGTGTGTGTGTGTCTAACCTCTGTTAGTGTTGCCCAGGCTCTATTTGCGTGACCCCCTCCCCACCACACACACACACACACACACACACACACACACACTCATGGTGGGAGTTACAGAGACCCCCTGGGTAGACAAGCTACACTAAGAAATGCCACTCACCGCAGGTCTGTGACACTGCGGAGGGTTCTGTGGGTTATCAAGAAGTGCCCTGTATTGAGGACCATCTCCAGGGCCCGGCCCGGCTGCCACCACTCGGGTGCTGCAGGTGCCTGCCTGTGTTCGACACTGAAGGAGGCTGCCGCAGACCCCATGCTTCGGCTCTGACTGATGGTTTCTGCCAACCCCCAAAGACTGACTGACTGGTGGGGCAGCTGCACAGCTCCGAGAGCAGTCCGCCTTGGGCCCACCCCGAGAGGCGCGCCTTCTGGAACAGGGCACAAAACCAAGACCCCTCGTGGACCTCCTTCCTGCGGCTCTCCACACCTTGACACCTGAAGCTGCTGCGCCAGCCGTCTCACACCTGCCCGGGCAACAGAGGTCTGCAGAAAGTACGGGTGGAACGTGACTCGTGTGCAGAGTTGGACAGCGGTCACGAGCTGAGGGGAGGAAACGATGCAAGAGCCCAGCAACGTGAAACCGAGCACTCTCCGTGAGGTGCCCTTTCTCCTGTTGGTGGCTCAGTCTATGGGGAGAGAGAGAGACGCTGGGGCCGGGACAGCGTCACCGCGTCGTGTCCGAGCTGGCTGTCCCCTCTCGTCCCGTTCTTCAGTCGTCAGTCGCTCTATGTCTTCGTACACAGACCCATTTGTCCCCTATGGAGACGGGAGGGAGGCACCACATGCCGTTGGAAGTCCCGATGAAATAACTTTTCGCCTGCCCTAAAACGGCGGCCTGCTCATAAAACTTCAGAGAGAAAGTGGATGAAGCCTTGCTGTGGTGTTTTATGACTTGAATTTTTTTTTAATCATTTTATTGGAGGCTCATACAACTCTTATCGCAATCCATACACACATCAATTGTGCAAAGCACGCTTATACTTTCATTGTCCTCATCATTCTCAAAACATTTGCCACGTAAGCCCCTGGTATCAACTCCTCATTTTTTCCCCCGCCCTCCCCGCTCCCCCCTCCTTCGTGAACCCTTGATAATTTATAAATCATTATTTTGTCATCTCTTATACTGTCCAACGTCTCCCTTCACCCACTTTTCTGGAAATTTTAAGTAATCCTTTTTATCTTAAGCTTGTGTTATTTGTGATAAGAACTTTATGGTTGATCTTCTTGATGTCACTCAGTGGTAGGCTTGTGGTGGCCTGTTGCGAGTGGCTCTGTCCTGTCCGGAGCAAACCTAGGCAAACATAACAAGAAGTGGAGATCAGGGTTTTCTCCTGAAAGACAAGGTAGCAGCATTCCACTCTTTAACTGGAGCATACTTGCTAATGAATGCACACAATTAACATCCACTAGTGCAAAAAAAAAAAAAGAATTGCCTATATTTATCCCAACCCTTCAGTGATGTGACTCTTTGAGAACCCAGTTTCTTTTATGAAGAAGTAGCAAAATGGAGATTATAAGATCTGTACTAGTGAATTACTTGCTCTGTTTTGGTTCATTTCAAAAACTATGTTTGCCCTTTTTTTATCTTAACTTTCAGATTAAAGAGGGGGTGGTGCATGTTGTTTTGCGTTTCACGTAAAAAACCTAAATGAAAGACGTCTGGCTCCCCGTAATTCTAGCCTCAGTCCACGCACAGTTCGTTCTTACGCCGTGACCCTGCTCTCTGCTCACCATCATCGCTGAGAGCTAAGGGTGCTACAGCATCGTGTGATGAAGAAAAAAAGTGTGCCCAACTCTCGATTGGAGGAGTGTCTAAGGTCTTACAGGCTTGCGTTCAAACAAGCGGCCATCTGAGTGGGGCATCAACTAAGTCCACCTGGAAGAAGGACAGCAGCCTGTGTGATCCAAAGATGAAGAATAGCAGAATGCAAATATGAAAAGGAAGGTATCAGAGCTTAGATGGTGAACACCTGATACACGGAGGGCTGTGAAGGACAGTGGGGACCCAAGCCCATCTGCAGGGTCCTAGTCGGATTCAGCCTCGGGCAGACCCCTCTGGCCACAGCTCAGGGATGCCGACAGCTTTGCTTGAGACAGATCACTGTGAACTTGATTGTGGTGGATGGCACTACGGTGTAATATGTTACTCTCTCGGCCCAACCTGAATTTGCTCTGAGTTTAAATATCTCTCACTTGTTTCGCAACAGAAACGTTCTCTCTGGCTCATTTTAAGCTGGTGGTCTTTTCTTTCTTTCTCTTTATTTTTTAAATTTATTTCTTTTTTCCTGTTTTGTTTTGGCTTTTTATTGTTTCTGTTTCCCTGTTAGAAGGAGTGGATGCATAGAGACAATAACTGATGCAAGGGTCTATCAGGGATGGGGCATGGGGGGTGGATAAAGGAGATTGGGGAGCAAATGATGAAAGCCGGTTGGGGGCGGGTGCAGTAGAACTGATGGTGATGACGTATACACAACTCTTGTTAAAAGTGACTTAGCTGTGGGAGTGGGTGGCATGTGAGTTTTAGATCGTTACAACGTGTGTGGGAAAGGCTTCTGAAAGGAGTAGCTTGAGATGGAGCCCGAGATGAGGCCACAGAGCAATACCCTCTGCGCGAGTGTGCGGTTGCTGCAGCTCACTGCCTGTCCACTCTTACATTCAACACCCGCTGCCCCTTGGCCAGCCAGGTCTCAGCCCTACCAGCTTTCACATGAGAAGCTTGCTGAAGAGACACTTGAACATTTCTCTCCCCCCCCCCAAAAAAAAACAACAACGTAGTGCTTATTTTTAAAACCTCATAAAAACAAACTTGCCCTCAAGTAGATGCTATAGCGCTATAGGACAACGTAGAATTGCCCCTGTGGGTTTCCAAGACTACCTCTTCACAAGGGTAGAGAACCTCATCCTCACCCCCCCCCCCCCCCCACCCCACCCCCCCGCCCAGGCTGGTGGTTTGAACAGTTGACTTTGAAGTTAGCAGCCCAACTTGTAACCACTACACTACCAGGGCTCCTAAAAGGACGGGAAAATGGGCCAGGTCATGAACTGATGGCGAGACCTCCCTGCAGGTGCAGACATCCAGTGAGACTCGGGACAAAGCGTACTTGCTGCCACCACAGCCTACCAAGCAGTTCCTCATCTCCCCGCCGGCCTCTCCTCCCGTCGGCTGGAAGCAGAGCGGAGATGCGATGCCAGTGGTAAACTATGATTTACTCTGTGCCGTTTCCAAATTGGGACCAGGTAACAAACGTTTATGTTTCCCGTTTTTTCCTAAAAAAACCAAACAAACCATCTGGAAGGCCATACTCAGTAATGTATGACTTGGCTAGCCGGTGGCAGGTGAGGTCACGCCAACACGTGTTACCTTTGTGGTCTTGCGTAGGTTCCCTGCCTTCCGTTTTCCGAGCCTCAGACTTCTCATCTATAAAATCAGGTTCATCACGATCCCTACTCCTCAGTGTGGCTGCAAGACTAATAGATAAGTACACACAGTACTCGGCAAATGCAGCTGCCGTTTCTGTTGCTGCAAACGCTACTAGTACTTTGTGAATCTCGGTTAGCTTACCTGCTGTCTGGTCACAGTGCTAGACAGACATCTATGCTGAATGAGTTTTCAAGGTGGCAGTACTGTATCATCCCTTGCAAATTCTTACTGTATTTCTTTCTTATTTCATCTTTCCCCCGTGCCACACTGGTCCCATCTGGTTGCTCCCCCAGGCAGTGTTTTGTCTGTACCGGGGCTCCCAGGGGCTTCGCTCCCTGGTCACTCAGTGGGTCTGCCATTGGAGGTCTGAGGTCTTACGATTAAAGAGTCTCACAAGGTGCTGCCTAGCACTTGACAAGCGTCTCCCAAGGAAAAACTGAAACCGTGATGAACGTAAGCAGGTTCACCTGTATTGTTGATAGAACATGTGTTAACAGGTCTTAGCATCTCCATTTTAACTCAAGACCTCAGTACTCCTCTACAAGGAATTTCTTGATACTGTACAATGTTAGAAGATCTGAAAAGCTCATAGGTGTATAATCCCACAATAAGTAAAGGACTCTTGCAACACATGTAAAGATTGATTGCTTGCTTTTTAAATACTGAAGCTGTTGTTCAAGTGGAACAAGAAGCTTCCAGAAGGCGCACGCTCCCCACTGGCGGCGAGGCTTTCTCTGTTCCCCGCTTTGTCTGTCTCCACAGGAGAGAAGTATGAGCTCCACGCAGGAACCGAGTCGACGCCCAGTGTGGTGGTGCACGTCTGCGAGAGCGAAACTGAAGAGGAAGAAGAAACGAAAAACCCCAAACAGAAAATCACCCAGACACGGCGGCCCGACCCTCCGACCACCGTGCTGAACGAGAGCCCTGGCCTTTGATTGCGTACCGCCAGACCTGTGAAGGTGGTGTGTGGCTGCTGCCGGGGGCTTCCTCCGTGGAGGCCTGCGCCCCGACCACGGACAGACACATTGTTGCTGCTGCGTGTGGGGGAGATGAGGCTCAAAGGGAGCACGGTGCAGGCCTGTCACCACGCCTGTGCTGCACACGGCAGGCATGGCCCAGCAGCTGATTTTGCTGGTTCCTAATTGTAACCGGTGTTCTGAGCGGCACTTTAAATTCCAGGATTTGCCCTCGCCACCCCGGAAATGTGGCAAGACTTGACCATTTAAAAAAATCATAACAAATTAGAAAAATAGTCCTCCCCTCCTTCAGCAATGCCCGTTCCTCTGATTCCATGTAGCCTGGATTACCAAAAGCTGCCATGTTTGTGGATTTAAAAGTAGTCTCACAATTTTCATAATCTAGCCCTGGTATTTTTGTACTGGTCTTAGAGCTTCTAGCTAATATGTTGACCAAAGCTTACCTGTTATTCAGTGCATATGAAATTTTTGCACGAAAAGAAAATGTAAAAGGTAGACTAATTCAAAGAAACTCTTTTTTCCCAAGCGTGTTTTTAGCTTATTTTTTCCTTAGGAGCCCTGGTGGTGCCGTGGCTAAACTTGGCTGCTAACAGACCGGTCGATGGTTTTGAACCCAGCAGCTGCTCTGCAGGAGCCAGACCTAACAGCCCGCTGCTGCCGTAAAGACTTACGACCTTGGACATCCTGTGCGGCAGTCCTGCAGCGTCCTGTAGGGTCATGGAGTCAGAGTCAACCGCAATAGGATTTGTTTGGGGAATGTGGTTTTTTGTCTGTGTGATTTCTTTAGCTGTGGAGAAAACTTGCCCATCTCACTTGGTGATAATCAAACAGTGCAGCTCTATGTGCGCGTTGTTCTCTTCCGTGGACATCAGTGGGAAGTGACGCACACACCACCTGTCCACAGCGTGCCCGTCCAGGGATGGACCCTGCAGGAGGCATGGCTCCGCAGGACATAGCACCGGTGAGTCTGGTCAATTCAGATGTGCAGTGGCTGCTGCGTTCGACCCTCTAGCTGTGCTCTCCTGTCATGGAAACTACTGTCTTCAGCCGCCAGTGTTTGCGCCTGTCGCCTTCCCCAGAGTTGTGCTCACCGCCACGTGTTCTTTCTCTGCTGTGCGGGGTCACTCAGAGACTTCAGATTATCGAATTGCCCATTTAAGACATTATCGGCTTGTTTTGTAAGAGCAGTTACACATACTCTCTTCCTAAGAGCTAGAGAGAGGAGGAGGACATCATGTCAGTCACAAGTACTTTTTGTGAAATGTTTTATCCTTACAGTCAGCAGTTTTCACTAAAACAGAAGAGGTTTCTAACAGTGATTTACTTGAGCTTCCTGAGGTAGGAGCGGCCTCTTTTTACTCTTTGTGGCCTGTTCAGGCTTTGAAGCCCCTTTTATAGAAAAATCTTGAAACTCAGTGTTGTGCTTGTGGGCCCGAGGGCTCCTTATCCTGTGGCTGCTCTGCGGCCCATGTCCAGTGCCCCCTGGCGGGCCTGCAGAGCAGCCACCCGTGGAGTCTGGACCAGCAAGGCAGTCCGACTGCCAGGACAAAAAAGAGCGCAGAGATGGGGCCAGAGTGTCCCATGGTCTTGAGAACGTGTTATTGTGGCTTAGCTGTTCTCACTGTGCTAGGTTTTATTCCCAATGGACTTGAACTGTACTGCCCAAACCTTTATGCTGTCTCTGTTCCACCTGCCCTTAAATACTCTAAAATGGTAAGCTGTTGTCTTTGTATAATACACCACTGCAAACCCCAATGCACATTCAGTTGAAATATGCAAGTCCATAAGCAGTTTATTGAATTTTTTTAGTCAAAAAGTGTACATTACCATTTTGTTAAAATCTGTTCCTTGTTGTTTTTTAAGAGCACTGAATAAATTGAAATTTTTCAACCAAAATTTTAAAGATCCATCACACCTTGGATATACTAATTCTAGAATAATGTTTCCACATGGTAACCTGTGCAGGTAAAACTCTCCTAAATACCCGCCAGCCTTTAATGTTGTGAAACACGCAGAACCTCCGTAGGGCCTGTGACTCCCGCCCTTCCCCTCTCTTATCCCCAGCTCACATAACGCTGTTGCAAGAGATGAGTCTCTCAGCCAGCCTGTTTTTTCAGTTCTTTTTAATAAATTCATCCACTTTCTTCCTTCTTTGAAGTAGTTATGGCTTGATTCAATTCTGCAGAGAATTTTCTTTAGCGATTTCCTTACCATCTGTTACCTCTTTTTTTTGTTGTCATTTTATTGGGAGTTCGTACAACTCTTATCACAATCCATATATACATCCATTGTGTCAAGCACATGTGTACATTTGTTGCCATCATTCTCAAAACATTTGCTTTCTACTTGAGCCATTAGTATTAGCTCCTCATTTTTCCCCTCCTCCCTGCCCCTCTCCCTCATGAGCCCTTGATAATTTATAAATTATTATTTTGTCATATCTTGCACTGTCTGACATCTCCCTTCACCCACTTTTCTGTTGTCCATCACCCAGGGAGGGGGGTATATGTAGATCCTTGTAATTGGTCCCCCCTTTCCACCCCACCTTCCCTCCACCCTCCCGGTATCGCCACTCTCAGCACTGGTCCTGAGGGGTTCATCTGTCCTGGATGCCCTGTGTTTCCAGTTCCCATCTGTACCGGTGCCCATCCTCTCAACCATTACCTCTTTAGGGGAATCAAATTATTTCATAGATTCTTAGGAAAGAAAACGATGCCCAGTATTGGGGGACAATTCTTGTAAAAGAGAAGAAAACCAGACCACTTGCTCAGACAGTTTCCAGAACCTGCAGTGAGCCTCTTGTCTTCTAAATGCTTTAACACCCACTTGAGGACACGCCATCATCAATTAAGACGTGTCCTGGGGAGCAGCTACTGGGCTTACGGTGCTGAGCGGCAGAGCAGGTCTGAGTGGTTCCTTCCCTTGGACAGCTGGCAGTCTGCTTCTTTTCACTGTTATACACTAAAATCTCTCCGTGGTTAAAAGCCAAGTAGGATAAGACTAGGAACTTTTAAAGATCTACGTAACGCTCACCCAGGACACTCCGGTCATTTATGGGATGCTGGCCTTGACGAGGTGCCCAAAAGTAGAGGTCAGGTGCAGTATGTTCATGCCTTTAAAATATGGTCTCGTTTATTTCCCACCAATATTCTCTTTTTCAAAAGGTCACGATATAAAGGGAAAGGCTGCATGTTCATAGAATCCCAGCTACAGAGCTGAAGGCGGCTGTAGAAGGCATGCAGCCCTGGCCTCTCGGAGCAAGTTCGATAGCAGGGGACGTGACTTGCTGTGGAGGCTGCAGCCCATGGAGGGAGGCCCGTTCGAAAGTGAAGACCGGCGACTGACGGGCCAGTGCGCCCTGCTCTCACCCAGGGTGTCTTACAGAGCACCGGTCTCTTTTTAAAGGGGAGACTCCAGACATCAGTTAGCAAAGGAAAACGTGCTAAATGCCTGTCAGGTTCTTCCCTCTTGCCCCAGGTGGCGCCTGCCACACAGGTGACCCTGGCTCCTCTCTCCTTCCTCCTTTCTGCGCCAGCCTGCCCCTATCTACCACCTTTTGCATTTCTAGGTCTCTGTAGTAAGTGTGGCGAAGGGACTTGGGGGAATATTAGCCTTCTCACTGGGGGAGAGAAGTTCACTTTAGATACTCACTTTTTTAATGTTAAATAAGTTGAAAGGATTTTTGAGCCTGTCAGATAAATGTTTATTTGCTTTTTAAAAGAGCTGAAAATGACAGCAACTGATTTTTTTTTTAAAAAAAGACTGTAAAAGTGGTTGTGTTTAAAATAATAGCTAGCAGCTGAGGTTACAAAGAGCTGACCTTGGGCTGAGGCACTGTCTCTACCCACTGAAACAAAAGTGACCATTTCAGGACTCTGGCTAAATTAGATAGGTGTTCTGTGTTGTAAACCTACATTTTCTTTTGAAACAAAATTATGTCCTCTTTACCCTTGAAAGTCCTGCCTAACCCTGGCTGAATGTCTGTCCTCGTCAAAATGGAAGGTTGACATCTATTCAGACAATACGTGTTTTCTGTCAGATTTCCTATTTAGTCCTCGGTCTTCCTGGCTCACGTGGAGGGCTGAGGAGAATGAACGTGGCTGCTCATGGTACTGGCCAGGCCAGTACCCAGTTCCCAGAATTCCCCTACACCACCGTCTGTAGTGGGGTCCTCCGAGCGGA